TTTATGTATATAATATATCTATATATATATTATAGATTTATGTATATCAATGTAACCAGTGGTGCACGTTTGTCGCGCTACATCGTATTACTTCATCTTATAAAAGCCATCGCTAGTCTCCTCGCCTCTTCTTATCTTTAATTACAATAATATCTTACTAAATCGTTTATTAGGCTCACTGTGTGGTATGTGTCTGTGTATGGGTATTGGAGGTTATGTGAAGGGGTGTGCGCGTGCGAGCGCTCGTATATAAATGATTCGTTGCCTACGCTATTTCTACCACTTCTTGCTCGCACTGTCACTCTCTCATTCTCTCACATACACATACATCCTCGTTCTCTCTCTCTTTTTCACTTCGTCTTTGCTAATTACTCTTTTCTTTTCTCGATAGCTTATTATCGTAACGAGTAGCAAATGCTTATTCACTACGTGGATGTGTGTATGTACGTGTGTTTGTGAACCAGATTCGTGTTGGGTGTGTGGTGATCCTGCGCCGCTAAGTCGTCGTTACAATTAAAATTATTAAGGTTAAAAATTCATCGGCCTATTTACTTTTTTTTCTGCGCCGTTATTATTATTTTAATATTAATCGGTCGGGAGGGTATATTTCCTCGTCGAGTACCCGCGACCGTCTACGAAGTTATTGCTTTTGAATACCCCGGCTTCCGTGGGAGCATCCAATTGGAACAATATCCTGTAAATATCAGTCGCACTTTGAAGGAGGCAGGGATTCTTTAGGCGGTTTATTCTTTTGTTGTTGTTCTTGTTATTGGATTAGTGTGTGTTTTTTCCCTCGAGGATACTATCACAATGCATACAATATCAATATCTATATGCGTTATAGGTTAGGTTAAGGGTCACCTTATATCACATCCGTCCCTAACACGCCGTGGTTCGCGTCACGTGAGTTTTGCGAGGATCATGGACCGATGCTTTGGAAGCACAATTTTTTTTTTTCAGCTAAATGACATTTACCGCGTGACACAGAACGCAAATTTCAAGCTAGCTTCCAAACGTGAATACTCCATAAATATGGTATTTACAAACTATTTTCTACAATATAATTACAACTTTTTGGTGTTTTAATCGTTTAAATTGCTTTCAAGCTATCAATTTCTAAATTGATCGCAAAACATTCGCTCGGAAGGCCATCTGTCCGTCCACGCGAAACCCGTACGACGGCCCACGACGATTAGCTCGTTAATTTAGGTTCGCAATCAATAATAACAATAAATAGTAATCATAGTTCGCAATCATTATCGTCGTCGTCATAGTCGTTGTTAATAATTGGTACTCGCAAGCGTTTGTAATGTCGGATCGTCGCTCGATATTGCTTCGTCGTAAACTTCGTTCATATCTTTTCGCTTTCTTCGCGTATCTGGTTTTGTCGTTTCTTTTCAACCTGTAATTGACACTGTCCGTACTCGTTTGAACGCATAAATACACGCTAACGAATAATTTTACTGATGTATATAGGCACTTTTTTCTTCGTTCTCCTTCCTCTTTCTCTTGCTCTCTCTCCCTCTCTTTCTCTCCCTCATTCTTTCTTCCTCTTTCTCTCGCTTCATTCCTCCCGCACTTACACTATTCCAAAACAACAAACTGCACTACGAATTTACTTATCAACCTTGCTAGGCTCCTTTTTTTCAATAAGGAAAACTCGCAGCTCCAAAAACCGACCTCTTTTTTCATCAGACAGTCGTTTCTTAAAGCTAGAAACGCCACGGAATCGAATCAAAAACTCACGCATATTACCCCGACGAAGAATTATCAAACCGTCTTCGTTAACACAATTCTTTCGATTCACAAAAGGGTATTGAGACAGTGAAAGAAGGAATTGAAAGAAGGGGATAGGGAACAAGAGAACAATTTCGTGTTCCATAACCTTTACCAACCTTTGAACTGTCTTTGTTTGACGTAGTTATAGATGGGAAAGGTTCACCTCTTAAAAAGAACGTGGTGGTAGATATCGGTTGGTAAAGGAGAATTGGGTTACATGGA